ATTAAGTTTCTAGACTAATTTTTCCCAGCTGAGTACGTTTTTTACAATTATATATCTTTATTCCCTGCATTATCTCATTCACTAGCCTGTTTAATTGTTCTCTTGCTTTTTCTTCCATGTATTTTCTAATTTCGGATGTTTATTATTTCTCCCAGGTGCTTTTCTTAATTTTACCTTTCATAATTATTCTTCTTGCTGTATTGTTTCTAAATATTTCCTGTCATTCATTCTGCTTCTTATGTTCTTCCTTTTTGTCTAGATTATTCTCCGTAAATCCTTTGAAATGTCGATTATTTTTGATTATGTTTTCATTTTTATCTTTTATGTTAGTTATATTAATTTACTAATTTTGATTTAGCTGCCTAAGTGTTCCGAAAAATAGTTATTGGTTTTCTCTGTACTTTTGGGTTAGGTCAGATCAGGTTAGGCCAGGTTCTCTACGAATTTTATCCATGACATTTGTTTTTTCATTCATTGCCTTCTTCATTTTTTTGCGTTTTTCTTTGTATGCTTCATGATCTTCTGATCTCGTTGTATTTAGAGATCTTTTCCATTTTTTTGTCTTTGGGGCACAATATTCTCTTATTTTCAATTATCTTTCGTTTGTTATTTTTGTAGTTCCACAGCTTCTTCTAGTAGCATGTAGCAAAGTGTTTTTGAATTCGCGTGGTTTTTCTTCTATTCCAGGTCTTTCTGGCTCTTTTAATTTTCCATATAGTATTTCTTGGTATTTTTCTCGATATTTTATTTCTTTAAGTTTATTTATCTTCTGTTTAATTCTTTTTTGTATTTTTCCTTCTCCAGCGTAAGCGGCCGAATTGTCACTTTCATATTTTCTCGACGTGTCATGACCTCTAAAGTACGAAAAAAGTGGTCTTCGGTTTCCGTCTGTCTGTCTGTCTGTTTGTCTATCTGTCTGTACCCATCCATTTTTATTAGACAAGTAATCTCTAAATATATATAAGTACATATATTAGGAATATTATGAGATGGTTAAAATCTAACTAAAATTTGGACAATCGTCCCCACCAACAATGGGATGACATCATCTCCAAAATTTATACACAGTAAGATACTAATGCACTTGTCGTATGTGAATCCGTGCGAATTTTCACCCTAGACATCCATAATTTTTGGAAAAAATTCAAAACTGAATAACAATATTTAGCAGTATAACGTTGAAACTGCAAAACCGATTTCTCTGAAATCTTGTAAATATTCTAAAGTTATCGTAATCTTGGTAAATCGTTAAGCAAAATTTATTCGTTTGTCCCCTCCCAAAAAATTGATGACGCCATCTCAAAATTTTGCCGACTAAATCCTATCCAAAATGTGCAAAATATGATGAGTCTATATTTGCGATTTATCGCTGCATTAAAAGTTTTTATATTTATTATACAGGGTGACTCATAAAATTTATGAATGAATCAATTTATTTTATTGATTAAATCGGGAACGGCTTACTACGTTTTCTCGAAAATTTGTTATGCACCTATCCAAAGTGATATACGACGTTATCACAAAATTTTGTTAAGGGAAAACTCATTTAGTACGTACTCCCAGCACGCTTCCTTACATTGATTTTAACGTTACATACATATCTTTATTTTAACGTATAAGGGTTCTCATAAAAAATAAAATTCACATAATCAAATTTTATAATTTTTTGAAAAAGCTATATTTGTATTATTGTATTTCAGAGGGGAGGGAAGTCCTGTCGAAATAACCTTCGACAAATTTTTCAGTTTTTTTTTCTGTTTAGAAAATAATCTATAGTTGATTTTTTATGATTACTTGTTACTTTTCTCGTATACTTGTATACGTCTTTGTCTTTCAATTTTATTTGTTATACTTAATGCTAAATCATTTTCAATACAAATTTCTTTCTTCGTTGTTGTTCTTTGTTTCTTCTCCTTCTCTTCCTAAAAATTCTTCTATGCCTCTATTATGGTTCCCTACCTTGCCATTGAAGTTTCCCATTCCTCTTCCTCATCTATTGCTTTTTGGAGTTCTGCATAGAACCCATCTTTAGTTTCTTTTGTTGCATCTTCGTTTTCTCCCGTCCGTCCTATAACAATTGCTTCCTATTTTTTGATCCCTTTCGGCTTTTTTTTTCTATGATAATTTTTCGTACTTAATTTTGATTTATCTTCCCTTCCTATTTTTTGGTGTTGGTACTTGCTTTATTTATATTGTATTTCTAATTCCTTTTTTATTAACTTATTATTTACATATCTTCTGTTCCATTTTATTTGCCATTATCTTGCGTTGTTCTGCATATTTTCTAGTTCAATCTTGCACATTTTCAGCCATATCTTGAAGAGTCTTTGACCTCTACTTTATTCCGTTTAATAAATGTTTCCATTGCCCTTTTTGGTTCTATACTGTTGTTCAATCTATCTTATATCTTATCCTATCCTTTTTTTTTGTTATTTATTTTATAATTCCATATTCAAACACCAAAAACTGCTAAATTAGATTTTAAGCAATCATTTACTATGCAAAATTTTGAAATGACGTCATCAAACTGTTAGTGGCGATGAACAGACAAAGTTTGGTTAACGTTTTACCATCTACACTACATTCCTAAAATACATATAAGTTTTCACAATAATCAGGTTAGTAGTTTGGGAGATTATTTGTATAATAAAATGCTCAACAGACATGGACGACAGTCATACAGACAGACAGACAGACGAAAACGGGGACCTATTTTTTCATACTCTGGGGTCATAAAACATCGGGATTTTTTTTCCACGTCTTCACATTCACACACGTTCAAATGTTCTCTTAAACATTTTTTAATGTTTTACTTCCAGAAGGCAAGTTACATAACTTCTGAACTGTTTTCATTTGTCGTCTTTTAAACAAAGAATATCCAAAACTACCGAAGAGATTGTTGTGAAATCTTTGTTATGAGTTAACAATATCGTGTGTGTGGTAAAAGGCTAATGATAATTTGTCTATTTCCCCACCTACAAGCTGATGACGTCATCTCAAAATTTTGCTAAATAAATCTTAATTAAATACACAAAATATAACAAGTTTTTGGAAAAAATCAGAATTCTATAACGGAATTTTGCAGTTTATCTTAGAAATTACAAAATAGATTGCTCTGAAATTTTATATATAGAATAAAGTTATCATTAACATAGCGAAACAGGGAATTAGAATTTTCTTTTCTAAAAACTTGATGATGCAGTCTCAAAATTTTGCGTGTCTTGACTTAATTTTTGAGAAATGTCAACAAAAAATGTTTCAACAAAATGTCTAAAAGATAACATATTAAAGTAGATTAAAACATGTATATTTCATATTACGTTTTGAAATGCTTTAATTTTATTTGTTTAAAATTATGATATAGCAAACACTCTTTCATACAATTCCCATTATTACTACATTATTTTCTATTACATTACTACTATTATCGCAGGACCTTTATAGAATTTTATTTTTGTGACACATCTTACTTATCCTTTTGATTTTTAGCAGCTTTTGTTCCTATCTTTGTCGCTTTATTTGCGTTTTTTATTACTTACTCAGCTTCTTTCCCCAAAATTTTGAGTGAAAATACATCTCATCTGTCATTTATTATCCATTGTTAAAAAATTGTAATCAGTTTTATTTTGTTTTGTAATAATTAATAACATCTAGATGTTATGTTCTTTCTTAGCTTTTTTTTAATTACTTCTTATTGTCACTACTGATCTTATCATCTCAGCCTTTTTCGTTTATTACTCTAATTTTCTCCATTATCTTCTTACCCTTTTCTTGAACTGAAATGTCAGATAGGGAAAAATACCTTGAAATTTTTTTTAGCTTCGCAAAGCATAGTAACTTAATCTGTATTTTGTTTTTCAGTTGCTGCTTTTTTAATTCACCTTTTTGTTAAATATCTGCCTCTTTAAAGTTGTATAGGTAAGCATTTCAACTTTTTTGCGTTTTCAGTTCTCTCACAATAATTGTTCTTCATGAGTTGTAAACCAAAAACTAAATAAACCGTTCTATTAAACAGGAAAATACTTTTTTCGAATTCGGTCCTGGGTCGATACGCTTGAAGACGTAATTGAAAAATTGTTTGCCATAACGATGATTCCAGTTGGAATGAAACTCGTAACACTTTGGAGTAGGAAGTATTACAGTGTCATCATCATAAATACGAAATAAAACTTGACAAAGTAGAACTCGAATAACCTTAAATTTCGTGACATAGTGACACATTTTATTAAATGAATGAACGAATGAATGAATTAGTTATTATTATCGATTATAATAAATCAGCTAAATTTACTACTACGTATCAGAGTTTACCCTGCAATAACACTTTTTGCGCGTGTTTAAACTTTGTTAAACTAAATATAGTCAACCGAATCAACCCCGTCTCTTTTCATTTTAACTGGAAGGTCAACATTTATTTCTATAGCAGATTCTTTTTGATCGAATGCCCATGCGGTTTACCGTAAATTTAGATAAAGAAAGCATCGATTAGTGAAAAAAATGTGATGCGTAAGTGTAACAGAATGAAATTTTCACGCTCGTTAAACATTTATTTTTAACCTGAATAAGAGGGCTAACTTTACCCACCCTTATTATTAGATACTCATTATTTTTTGCAAAAAATATATTTATTGTTAACGAAGATAAAATATTAACGGACCTTGGCCCCTATTGTTGGTTTATTGAATACTTTAATTTTTAAACAAATATTCGATAGCCCGGAAACATCACGGGGTGATTTGTGGCGGTTCCTATTCAACCGTGGCCCATAAAACTCAAATCTCCTGTAAAGTCGGTCATAAACACCAGTTAATAATAAATCAGTAGCAGTCCAAGCTGTTGCAGCAATGAAAAGGTCAAAACCTTACTTATTGATACTTTATAGGTTACAGTGAACCGAAGCTATCGATTTCTTTGCGTAATTGCTTCTAACCCCTCCAAACATTAAACGGCTCGGGCGGTTTTAGTGGAACTTGTCTTGATTCAATATTTTATCTTTACAGATTCTGCAGCAGCGGGTTCAGTCGGCCAAGTACCGACACACCCTGAAAAAACAGTCGAGCGTGACGTCCTCGGATGAGGATCCTGATCACCTGAAAATACCTCTGGACGTACCTCAGCCCGCTAACCCCTACGATGTTTCGTACATTTGAGTCAGGTGTGCTGATTATATCGGGGTTGGTTTTTACTTGCACCTATCGATTACGGGGTATTTTTGAAATTTTTAAAAATTTTGCCAAAGTTGGACTAATCCGAGGATCAAAAAACTGAGTTAAATTGACATACAGTTGTATTTTAATTTAGAAAGTGTCATAAGGGAGCTAGAAGAATAGATTGTAAAATTATTTCTAGCTTAATTCGCGAGCGTTTGTGGAGAGAATCCGATAAAGACAAGCAAAAACTTGCGTTCCTCCCTAAACGCTCGAGTACTTAAAAACTAACATCCAAAACATCAAGTAAAGCTTGTTGTATATTTTAATTTAGCTTTATTATCTCTTTAGTTTATACATCTTCATTAACATTATATTTATAATACCCGTAACTTTTTTAGTGATTTAATGGGAATTTTAATAAAATTTCTTTATTATATTAGTATATAAAACAACATTTTATTTATTAACATCATTTACAAACCACTATTTATATCGGGAATGGTAAATATTACAAAAGTCTCGTTTCTTGTGGTTTTATTTTATAATAAATTGTACCTAATGTGCGTCAGTAGTTACATTGAAAGTCCCATTGGGTCGTTTTTGCAAAAAAATCGTCCCAAAAGAATATACCTGTGGGAAGCAGGTGGTCGTCCGAGCGACCACGTGCTTCCCTTACAATGCCACTTTGTGGGAACCTCATTTTGTCTTCGGTTTAGAGAATTCACGACGATTTATTAAATACCACAAAAATGGAATCGAAGCAAATTTGAGTCTTACTTAATACCGCTGTATCAAATATCACGTCGGGTTTGGCACTGAAGCAAGGTCGTTAAGAACTTGTATTTAATAAACCTCCGTGCGAAGTCATTTTGATGAAACGAGAAAGGAGATCATCTTGCGATTGATAAAAAATCATCATGATTCCATGCAGGCGAAACTAAATTTCTTGAACGAAATAAGTCGCTCGAAACAGTAAATCATTGAATTAATATAATTCCGCGTCAGTAATTTGCTTGTAGTACAAATCATTCGATGGGCTGAAAGGTCAAAGTAGCATAAGGAAACACCAAGGGATGGGAGCGCAACATCAAGATGATAAGAGATTGTCAAAGTACATATGTTTCTTCATTTCCAATAAACAACACGTAATTGTAATATTGCGATGGAAGTCGGAATTTATTCACAAAGGAAGCCGTATATGGGTAACATCTATGTATGATCGTTGCGATAATTTGGCACATTGTTCTCAGGATAAGAAAAAAATTATTGTTTTTCGCTTGATTATTGCTTCTAACATAATCGCTATACACTGAGACGCTACGAAGCTCCAGACAGGTCCCGGTGCCGTTATCCTGAACTGAATAAATAATACAGACGTCTCGGAAACAGACAGTGAGCAGGCACGATGTCAGTGGAGTAAGGAAGTAGAGGAAAAAAGACGCTCGGAACAGGATGATGTGTATTATTTTTTCGTTCCAGATTGAGTGGACCGTCGTTGGGTAAAAGAGATCTTGCTAATGTTATCATGAAGATTAGGCAAGTAATGACGACGATTCCTGGTCCTGCCAGTTCCTCCCGCCATTTGGGATGTGGAAGACAGCCGTCAGCAAGTCGGTTTATGCTATGGATGTCCAAAGATTGGTCTTGCCACGAACAAATAAGACTAAATCTAACACACAGCCTCTATATTATGTATAAATATCTTTTTGTTTTCTTATTAAACCTACCATGTCAGTCCTCGCGTACGTTTTTAGAACACGATTGAGCGTTATACAATTACAAATATAAAAACATCTAGAAATAGTCCGGGGAGTTCGTTGCGGATCCCTCGAGCTTTCGGCCCGCGAAAATCCACTTAGCTTCTGCACAACATCGGAACTGACCCTTTTAAGGTGCATCCGCAGTCCGTCGCCACTTCCTCGGCGTTAAAGGGGTGGTGACCCAAAAGACAAAACTGTATCGCAAAAAAATCGAACAACAAATTTTCGAACCGCGCACGCAGGGGATGATCCATTCTCGAGGAATTTTAAAGCCAATACAGACGTGACGCCATACCGACCAAACAACCTCCTTCACTATTTTCTCACAAGACTAAATCCTCCAGGAGTCTTGTAAAACAATAAATCAAAATTAGCTTTCTAAATATCTTGATATCAACATTTTCTGCATACTGTTTTTGCGTAAATACATCAAATGTACAATTTTAACAACAGACAAGGCGATAAACAAAAAATGCAGATGAGCAGATTTTAGAAATTTAATTTTAAAATTTTTTGTTTAACGTTGCCACTTTTATGTACATTAAAAGACCACTTCAATCCTGTTTTAGTATGTTACATTCATGGCTTCCAAGCCTTATATCTTTCTTTAACAGCATTCGTACTCTTTATGTCATTTCTTTAATATTTATAGGATATAAAGAACCAATCCTAATGCGCCACGACGAGTGACGTCACCGCTGCGTCATCGCGCCGACATAACCTCTTGATTAAATGCAGTTTAACATGAATCTTTATTTTTACGTGCAATGGGTTGCAAATTTGGAAAAGGTCCACTGACAGAACTAGAATTTTGTGACTTTAAGGCTATATAAAAGACCGTGTCCAAAGATTTTATGTCATACAAAAGAAATAAACCACACTGGATTCATCTATAGGAAAATAGCGTTTCAAAGTATTAGTTCGTTTGGTTACATTCAAATCAGAATGAAATTAGAATTTTTAGGTGCTTTAAAAGGTTTGTTCGCATACTTTTTTAACTTTTTTACTGAAAACGTCATTTCATGACTTCACATGTTGATAACCCTGGTGTACAAACTCATATTTTTGTAATTATCAGAAATAAATATACGGGGTGATTCACTAATTGTGCTTCCCTCGATGTCTGATTAATTATTAGATAGAGAAAACGAAGTCGAAAGTTGTGCAGTTCTTTGAGGACTATATTGTAAAATTAATTTTAACTATACAGAGTTGAAAACAGATAGTAGGAAATCGGACATCCAACTTTGTCCCTTATCAAGACTTCAAAATTTATTGCAGGGAGAACGAACATTACAGAGACGTATGTCAAACTATACAGAGTGTTTCGTTTCACGTATTTTCATTAATTTCTAAATGTAAATATTACAACTTTTAAATATCGATATTTAAGTTTTTGCCGAACGAACATCCTGTATTTTATTGCTGCATCCTATTCTATTTTTTGCCTCTTTCATTTTATGTTAAGTAGTTACTATCTTTGAAACTGATAGTTTCTGAGATTTTTTACTTTTTTAATAGAACAATAAATATAGTAAGATAGTAATAAAATATAGGGTATTCTATTTGAAAAAACTGAAATATGTACTGATATTTGAAAATTTTAAAAAAGATATTTTTTTATAAACACTCTGTATATTAAACTTTGATTTAATTGGCACCACAACAAAGCGCGTCCTTTTATTTATCCCTTCACAAAATATTGTATGACAGATTTAAAAAATAACCGTAAACAATTTTTTGTACACCCTTGTATTGCAAAAAAATTTCAAGGAAATTGGAATAACGTGGCAACATCGCATCGGAATTTCAAAAATAAACTGTGGTTGTAAAGCTTACGAAGAGGTTAATTAGAATCTGTAAAAGTATACAGGGTGGTCTATTAAAAAAATAAAAATTAATTGCGTGCTATGCCTCAAAAAAAAAGCACTGTTAGTTCAAAATATTTTTAGGGTATGCTACTCAAAGAACCGTACAACTTAGTGTATAACTTTTTTCTATCTCTAATGATTAATGAGATATATTTTCGCAAATTGTATATATTGATTAAAATATTTCCAAATCATGAATGGATGCTCAACTTAGTAAAATTCTCCTATTTGAATTTTTTTTTATTACAAAATTAAATTCAGTTCAAAATATTGTAAAAATTTAGAGATAGTTTTGGCCACAATGACTATAATTTTAATTTGTTGTATCCGTATTCAAGGTCTTGAGATCTTTATTTCCTTTGGCGTCCAGATCTTCAATTATTTTCAAAATTTCTGAAATGTGTAAAGTTCGTGTATCTTCAGAAGCGTAACTTTCAATTTCTTTAAAACTTAGAATTTTTCTGATTTTTAGATGATAGTGAATTCTAGAAATTTCATAATCTGAAACTTTTACAAGCCTCAAATACCTCCACTATCGAAAATTCAAACTAAAAAATTTACTCTAACTTTTTTTCTTATATTTCTTCAAAATATTGTGAAAATTAATACAGAGTTTTATAATTTCAGCATTGACCGGTTGGCCGCAACGACTATAATTCAACTTTGTTTTATTTCTGTTCGAGTATTTGAGATCTTCTATTCCTTTCGGCTCAGATTTTGAAGGATTTTCAAAATTTCTAAAATCTGCAAAGTTCGTATAGCTTCAGAATTTCTGCAAAATATAATTTTATTTTTTTTATAAGTTAAAATTTTTTGCTATTTAGATGATAGTGTATTCTACAAAATAAATTTCATAATCTAGAACCTTTTACAAACCTCACATCTCTCCACTATCGAAAATGCAAACTTAAAAATTTACTGGAACTTTTTTTATTACACATCTTCAAAATATGGTGAAAATTTAGACAGATTTTATAATTTCAAATATGACCGGTTGACTACAATGACTATAATTTAATTTTGTGTCATTTGTGTTGAAGTTGAGATCTTTAATTCCTTTGGCCTCCAGATTTCCAATGATTTCCAAAATTTCTAAAATCTGTAAGTTGTGATATCTCCAGAACTTCTGTAAAACTGATTTTTCTGATATTTAGATGATAGTGAATTTTAGATATTTCATAATCTGAAATTTTTACAAACCTCACGTACCTCCAATATTGAAAATTCAAACTTAAAAATTTACTGGAACTTTTTCTTTATTACAGATACCTTATTCAAAATATTGTGAACATTAATAGACAGTTTTTATAGTTTCCGGATTGACCAGTTGGCCACAATGACTGTAATTAAACTTTGTTTTATTTCTGTTCAAGTGCTTGAGATCTTCAATTCCTCTGGTCCCAGATTTTGAACGATTTTCAAAATTTCTAAAATCTGCATAGTTCGTATAGCTTCAGAATTTCTGCAAAATATCATTTTATTTTTTTATAACTTAAAATTTTTTGATATTTAGATGATAGTGAATTCTAGAAATTTTATAATCTACAACCTTTTACAAACCTCGCATCCCTCCACTAACGAAAGTGTCAATTTAAACATTTACTGGAACTTTCTATTTATTACACATCTTCAAAATTTTGTGAAAATTAAGAGACAGATTTTTTAATTTCAGGATTGATAGATTGACTATTAATGATTATAATTCAACTTGTTTCATTTGTGATGAAGTTCTTGAGATCTTTAATTCCTTTGGCCCGCAGATTTTCAACAATTTTCAAAATTTCTGAAATCTGTAAGTTCGTAGTTCTTTAGAATTTTTGTAAAACATAATTTTTAATTTGTTCATAATTTAAAATTTTTCTAATATTTATGACATGGAAATTTGAAACTTCAAAATTTGCTGAATTTTTTGGTGACTTGGTTAAAGACCAATAAACTTTACCTCAAATTCTCAAACTCTTATTATTAAAAAATAATTACTGTCCAGCTATTTTATTAGAAATCACAAACATTTGTTTTACATTTGTTTAAACCATATTTGTTTTAATTTGTGTATTATCCATTCTTCAATTTCCAGTAAGTGCTCTAACTATAGATAAATGTTTATGGTCCAATATAATCAACGAAGTTATTTGACAGTAAATATTTAATATACTATGAAACCTCAAATAAAGCAATAATAAACATAAATAGCTTCTAATTTATTGGCCGTTAATTGAAGTTGCGTAGGCTATGGATATCTGTCATTTTGCCATGTTTTTTAAGTTTGTTCAGCAATATTGCGAACTGGCTAAAATCAAGTTATTTTAATTCAAGCAATTTTGAGGTTATGTTTAAAAAAGATTGCGAATTATTCGATTTTGCAGTCAAAATTTTTTCTGTCTGTCTTAAGTAACTTTCATACATATACGACGTTGTCCTTACCACTGGACTGTGTAAATAGAAAATAAAAAATATATGTAATTAGATACGTATAACGTCACTAGAGTAAAATTTGTGCAAAAATTTGTCAAGGGATTTTCCTCATTTCATATCTAATTTAATTTTTCTGCAATGCTTTCACTGATTTTGTACTGAAAAACGTATTTCATTATCTGATTTTTACAATTCACTGGAGACTAGTCAGGTCAGGTCAGCTTTAAAATTTGATTCTTTAACACTGTATCTAAATTGTCGGAATCATTTTATGTTTTCTATTTGACGAGTTTAGTAACCACGAACCTTAGATGTCTGGTTGCGGCAATAATAATAATAATTCTTAGCGGACAAAATTTTTGATAACACTTTTGACTAATTTCCAAAGACTAAGTCTTGATTCCAACAAATCAATAATAAATTTAGCTGGTCGAATGCACCGAATGAACAGGGTAGCCACACGAAATCCACCGACATGCGTAAAAAAAATTAATTAGTTTCCTCTGATCGAAAAATGGGAAAACTTGTACACAAAAAATACTGCCCGCAGTGCATTTTGACCTGTGCACTCGTGTTTAATGCGTTCTGTTCATTCGGTGCATCGTATTCAAGCACCTTCTCTTTAAAGTATCACAAGAATTTTTTGATCAGGTTTTCAAGTTTAAATTAACATGTCGGTATGGCGTCAGGTATATATCGTCAAGTCGTTCTAACATTGTTAGAGCAAGTACGATGTAAAAAAATAGACAGAGAATGGACCTACTTGCCTGTGGTTATGCTGCAAGTAAAAGTGTTGAAACCCCTCTGTCGTTTTAGTTCTGTGTAGCACAATTGCATTCTTATCTGGAGCCAGCTTTACCCAGATTACAAAGGCTAGTAGCGTGCGGTTTTCATTTTGTTCTCCGATAGTCGTTAATTCGTAAAAAGTCCAAATTTGGGTGACCGCCCCCTTAATTGTAAAATCCCCGATTCATGGCGGCGCGGTTCCTATTGTGCCATTTACACTGTAGGATTCTTAGGTACGTTCGCCGAAAACTGGCGTTGCACAGAGCGTAGCACACCGGGTTGATCGTAGAGTTAATGTAGCACAAGTAGTAAAAGAAATCCCACAGCTGCGGCGGAATGCGGGCACTCGACGCCGTCACCGGTTTTAACAGCACCAGAACGTTGTACGGGGTCCAGGTGATGATGAAAGTGAGGAGGATCGCGGACAGCGTCTTGGCCGCCTTCTTGTCGGCCTTCTTCTCTTGCGTCTTCTTCTTCTTCTTGCCCTGGTTCTTGGTCGCGTTGGCCAGCAGCGTCTTGCCGGCCAGCTGCTTGGGGATGATCTTGGCGTTGAGCGGGATCCGGATGTCCGGCATGGCGGACGGCCGCCGGTTCAGGTGGTTGGCGTGCACCGTGTTGAGGGAGTAGTCCACGTCGGGGTGCGACTTGGTGCGCACGTCCTCGGGGATCATCTTGATGGAGGCGCCCTCGGCGCACCCGCCGGCGCCCTCGCCCGGGTCGCCGGGCAGCCGGATCAGGATCGTGTACACGCTGTCGCTGGACACGGACCGGCCCGCCAGCCGGTTGCCCGTCGGCAGGCTCCTGGAGTCCCTCGGCGCGAGACGGGTTGGGGTCATGTTGGCCTGAGTGTGTGGTAGTTCGCGCTGTGTAGACAGTGTGCTGAAGTACGGGTCCCTATCGGACAAAGGAGAAAATTAGTACAGGCTAATGTCGTGGAGCGTTAAAACAGTCCGGACAGTCAAAATTTTAGACAAAGTACAAGAAACTCCTTAAAAATAACCTCAGCTTCCGCGGAAGGAAATTGCTACTGTCTTCATGTTCGCGTCAGACTATAGTCCAGTCAATCCAGAGTGACCATAGCAAGTGAAAAATTCGGTTTTCGAGATTGAGGGTAGCCATCTTGAAAATCAAGGTACCATTATTTTTTCATTAAGTTCGCAACCATAAGTTTCACACAAATTTTGTAAAAGCGATTTTTGTAAAGAAGATCTGCAACTTTCAGACTTCTTGGCCTCACATTAATAATGAACAAGTTATGAGTGGAAAAAATGAAAAATTAAGGGACGAAAAAATTTCAAGGCGTGATAAATACAAAAAGAAGACGATTTATTGTTGGACTTGTATTCATAACTTTTCAAAGTAACATTAATGACAAAGTCATCCGGTAAGTAAATAAATGACTACCTAAGAGATGAAAAAAATTTGGACGAAATAACCCTTGCACTTTTCAGTCCTACAAAAACTGTTATTGGTGTATCAAGGCCATAAAGAACGTTTTCGGCCAACGCGCAGCCGAGGTCTACAAAGCAGATGAGACCGAAAAAGTTCTCTATGGCCGAGGTACACAACGTTTTTTAGACAACCATACAGAAAAATAGTTCGTTATGTAGGTAAGTGGTTTTGAGGTTAGAAAATCTTTTTTCGTTGTTGGAGGAAAAGCCCTGTAGATTTGATAAAAACCAAATTTGGTCCTATACCAAGAAAAATTGATGCCGTTATGTTTCACAACGATAATCAGTAAAGGTGGAGTTCAAATAACGACGCTTTTGGCTCTTTTATTTTAAAAAATATTGATCAAAACACAAAGCCAAGGATGCAAAAGTAAGTTTTTAACTAATAGCCATGAAACATGCAATTGTCGACTTGTTTCGAGGTAGTAAAGTTCAACTTTTACTACCAAGGTTAAAAAATAAGATTGAGCTTATGTATGAAATACTTGATGGAATTATTTCTTAAAAAAATGAATAAACGTGTGCCACTAACATTACTTGAGTATACGCATGGTAGTTGATAGACGGTGGAAGATAAAATGATTAATTCAGCGACAAATGTAAACGGTTTTCTTAGTGTTGAAGATTTAGGTAAGTTTGATTAGAAATCAAAACAAAATCATTTTGCGTCAAAAAACTGATGGTTTATTTTTCCAATTTATTGTCTTACAGTTTCTAGCAGTGAAAAAAATGGTATATTAACCACGGTTCTGAAGCCACTTCAGAACCTTGGTTAATAATATACTATTCCGACACCTGAGTACAAAAAATTGGTCTAAAGAGTTTAGACAGTACTTCCCTCGCTGTCGGAAACTTGACGACTGCATGCCTATTGTGTTTTTTTTCTCATTACATTTTTGTAGTGGGAATTTAAACAAAAATTGCGATGACGTCATCAACATTTTTGCAAGGACACGTATATCAGTTGGGATAGATGTAGTGTAATACTAAGAATAAAATTATTATATTCTCAAATTTTCGGGAAAATGAATTGGGTCGTTTTGAATATTGATTTGTAATAATCAATAAAATAACGAAACAATTTACTCACGTATACGTATCAGAGGCAACTGAAAATCGTGTATGTATAAACATTCTTAATTTAAGATGACAGGCGTAACAGCATACGTGAGAGTCAAACAGAGAAACTGTAAACAAAACGACCATCGGTTTTATTGCTTCGACTTCGGCTTATTATATAAAACATTGGATTTTATTTTAATTTTTGACGGTGGAATTCACAATTGGTTGATTTAAAACATGTCTATACCACATTCGCGGAACCTAGTCAGCTATGTTTCAACCGAGTTTTAACTTTAAAAAATTTTGTGTCTACCAAATTAGGTTGGTCCAATGTAATACTAATAATAAGTGTTGCCTTTAATTTGATCAATAAAATAAATTGACTTCATTAATTTTTTTGAGCCACCCTTTAAGAAAATCTAAAAAATATGAATGGAATGATAAATCACAAGGACAAACTCATCATATTTTCTGCATTTTAGATAGGATTTATTTAGCAAAATTTAAGGGTGACATCACCAATTTTTTTAGAAGGGATGAACAAATACATTTTGAACAAAAGTTTACCATGCTTATAATAACTTTAAAATATTCCCAAGATTTCAAAGCATTCGGTTTTGTAATTCCTGATTAAATCAATAAAATATATTTACGCATTCATTAATTTTTTTGAGTCACCCTGTATATGCAAATCCAAAAAATATGAATGGAGTGATAGATCACAAGTACAGACTCATCATATTTTGTACATTTTAGATATGATTTATTCCACAAACTTTTGAGCTGACGTCATCAAGTTTTTGGAGGGGATAAGCAAATATTTTTTGACTAAAGATTTATGATGCTCTTTATAGCCTTAAAACATCTGCAACATTTCAAAGCATTCTGGTTAGCAGATTAAAAATTAAATTTCAAAATGTTGTTTTATAATTTTGATTTTTTTTCCAAAAATCTGGACGTTTCGGGTGAAAAGTCGATTCAGAGTTGTAAACTACATGTGTAGGACTATGTTATTTTATACAATTGAAAACCCATTTACTATGTACAATTTTGAAGTGACGTCATCGCATTAGTGGTGGGGATGATTAGACAAATTTTGGTTAGCGTTTTACCATCTACATGATATTCTTAATATAAGTACAAAATTTCACAATAATCGGTCGAGTACTTTCGGAGATTATCTGTCTAATAAAAATCCGGGACGGCAGACGGACAGACGGACGGACAGACGGACGGACAGACGGACGGACAGACGGACGGACAGACGGACGGACAGACGGACGGACAGACGGACAGACGGACAGACAGACGGAAATGGGAGACCTATTTCTTCGTCTTCTAGGGGTCATGAAAGATCGAGAAAACGTAAAAGTAGAGAGTCGGCCGACGGACTCGATTACAATACTTCCTTTGCTTACGCTCGGGAAGTAAAAAGTGACAAGTGAGTTCAAAAAAGTAATTTTGGCATTTCAGTACAAAAAAGTGCCACTTCATGGATATGATTGGGGACGTAAAACGACTAGATTTGTAATGGTCGCCTAAAAAATTATTTCGGAGCATTTTTAGATCATTTCCTGAAAAACGATTACTCTACTTAATTTTTCAGTGTTTTGTAATTGGTCAACGTTGCCAATGGAGGTAAGATTTATAAATCATGTGCATTAGAACACTGCACTGAATATGTAGAATCCATGAAAACTATATGATAGGAATATTTAGAAATTCTGTAACACAATTTTGCAATAAAACAAATCGAAAATTTGCAAACATAAAAGCCTATGAAAAAATATTAAAATCCTAACTTCAAATTCTAGCAGTTCTAAAATATTAAACCAAACAAATTAGTTTTTACTAAATTTTCAAAATTAATTATTGCAATACAACAAGATTAAATATAGTGAAAAAAAAATCTATGCGTAAGTTGAAATCTTAAAGGTGTGGATTGAAATTAAAAAAAGATGTATATTCAGAATGAGTCAAAATTGTACGGTTCTTTGAGGACTTTATTCTAAAATTATTTTTAACTATACAGAGTGTTCTGTTTTTAACGCGTAACACCAACTTAGTTTTCTTTAATTAATTACCCTATATATTTTTACATATTCTCATTAGCCTCTTCCCAGTTTATTTTTGAAATTCCGATGCGACGTTGCCACGTTATTACAAATTTCTTAAAATTTTTTTGGCAATGGAAGGGTTCACAAAAAATTCACATTAGGGTTATCTTCAAAATCTGTGTTACAATAATTGCTGGAAGGTTAAATAAAGGTAAGCGCTTTGTTGTGGTATGACTTAAATCAAATTTTTATAAACAGACTGTTTATAAAAAACTCTAAAACTTTACAATTTTTAAGTTTTTGGAGTTTTAACTCCTTTCTTTTCGTATTATAGAACACGTATACGACACGCGCCGAAATAGGATGTCGAGTTCAACACCGACACCGACACCAGTCTGAACTGAGTCTGAACATACTGATCTTTACTTCGCTTACCCAGCTATTTATATTCAATGTTATATATTTCTATATGATAAAAAAAGAGTGCGTCGACTCAAGGACGCACAGATGGAGTTTTAATTCTGTTTAATTTATTTATTTATCATATACGGTATGTCCCCGGATTGAGTTCATATGAAGAAAAAAAAACTGTATTTTCTATTTTACAAAAAAATGACATAGGAATAACATTTTTTGCTTAATTCAAAACGAATAAATCTGCAATTAAATTTTAATATTATCAGGCTGTGTCCTTAATATCGAAAAAAACTAAAAGTAACGAAGAACTTAGAAATATGAAAAAAATTATTTTAAGAGTAAAGACCAGGAATATTGAAGTTTTAATTGCAGATTTATTCGTTTTGAATTAAGCAAAAAATGTTATTCCTATGCCATTTTTTTGCAAAATAGAGTTTTTTTTCCTCTTGTGAACTCAATCCGGGGACTGTAGAAATATCATAAATTATAAATTATGCGTGAGCAAGCATGTAAGTAATTACTATATATTGTACTTACAAACTCAACTATTTCATAAAAATATTTTAACTTTGGAATGTTGACGAGCAACTTTTTAACATGGAAATTAACAAATAAGTGTAAATATTAATAAAATTGATATATTCCTCCTACAAAGAATCTATACGAACACATTTTATTAAATAGTTTATTTAAAAAATAGAGTAAGACACAATAATAAAATACAGAATGTCCTATTTACTACTACTCTATTTTTTATTTTAATTTTTCTAATATGTCAATGTGTCTCTTAAAAAAGTAAAATATTGCAGTAACGATCAATTTTACATATGAAAAATTCTCAGCAAAAAAGAAAGTGAAAAAAATAGAATAAGATGCAGTAAAAAATATGAGGTGTTCTATTTGAAAA